ATGTATTTCTATATATTTTCACAAATAGTGTACATTCATTGTACACTATTTCGATCTTAAAACACAGTGTACAAATACCCTAAATAGTGTACTGTACACCCCAATAGTGTACAGTTGGTCACACTGCATTCATACGAATAGTTTTATAACTAATGCTAATTATGATCACGCGCTGTTTTAATATTATCTAAAATCGTTATTAGTAAAAATCAATATGTTATGAATTAGGTATATTTTATATAATCAAATATTTTTATAGTTAATGTTTTTTATGGAAATTTACTTTGTTATTGAGAATAAATGTTCACGTTTAAAAATTAATTAATCATATAAGATTTAATTGCTTTTTATAAAAATAAAATGCATCAAAACTCACAAAACAATTCAAAAACTTTCTTAATCGTTAATTTAAAACAAAAAACTATATTTAAAAAATAATGAACTAAATTACAAAACCTAAATTATTCAAAATATTTTTATTATGCTTTTGAATTGACTATATTATTTAAATTATTATTTTACATAGCATATAATTATAATTAAAGTAAAATATTAATATATTATGGTATACAGATATTCAGGTATATAATATATATCACAAATATATTATACTGTATATTTTTAAGAGAATGACTTAATATTTAAAAAATTATTAAAGATATTATAGAACATTCAAATGAGAATATATTATTATATATTTATTTAAAAAATAATTAATAAAAATTTAAACTGACAATTATTTATTTAATATTTTTTAAAGAAAATTAACAGCGACGGAAAATAATTAGCGCCACAAACGTTAAAATATTGATAAAACTCATACGTATTCATAAGAAACAACATTACAACCATGCGAAAAACACTGTCAACATAGACGCGTTAAACCAGATTAAAATTATTTTTTAAAACATAGTTGACTGGATGAAAATGTCCATGACTATATTATATAAGGATTTTTTTTATTAAAAATGTAAACTATAATCAGTTCTTAATTGTATTCAATAATAAAAATGCATTGATTTACATACTGTCACATTGGGTTACAACTAGTACTGCTTGTGGTTTCAAATCAAAATCTTAACAATAATTGTTATATTAAAATATGATTAGTAATAATTATATAACTTAAGAGGTATACTTTAAATTAAATAAACTAACACATTAATTAAGTACACAAAATAAACGTATTAAAATAATATTATAATATTTAAAAATATTCATAAGTGAATATAATTATTTTTAATTATCAAATCCATTTTAAAATAACATGAGAGTATTTATCCATAAATTATATTTAAGTTTCATTTTGCGTGGTCGTATCTAAGTTACCCTGATTTATCACACTAACTTTAACCGTAGATATCTTAAGACTTTAAGAAAAAACAAAAATATTTTCGATCATATAATAGGCCGATAACAGTGAAAACCCAAACCACAAACCAAGTATCGAGGCTAAATAACATAAAAATTCAACTGGCTCTATTCGTGGTGTGTATGACATCAATATAGCTGGCACTGTCGGTAAAATGACCTGGATAGTAATACTGTCGTTATCGTAGTATTGGTTGTGCGCTATTGATGTATGTAGTACTGGTTTATATGAATCTCTATGGCAATCGAGATTTGGACATTTTTTCCAACAAATTCTGTAAAGCCTTAAACGATCAAAATTAATAAAGTAAAGTATATTAAGAAAATGATAATTCATTATGGTGATAGGCAATTGTATAAATTATCTAATTTAACAAATATCATAAATATAAATATAATATGATACAGACATTTGTTATAAGGTACAAAAGTGTGAAGTGACAAAATTTTGAAAAGTTTTAAATTATATTAATGTAATATTTATAAAAAATTTGACACTAGGTTTGTAAACTTTGATAAATTATGTGAGTCAGGGAAACCATAAAGAGTCATGTCAAAATACAAATACAAATACATTATAAATGAATTGCAAGTAATATAGAATAGTACAAAATCAAATAAAAAGTTTACATATACAAGGTATAATAGTTCATTAATAATGTATTTGCATTATAACTTGACTCCTTATAAAAATCAGATACTCGTGTACTTATAGTATTATTGGTTCATATAAATAAGGCATTTTTATAAAATAATTTCACCTACCTCAATTTGTTAATGCAAATCGTTTGAAGTTCTGTAGCCGAAAACGTGACATTCATTTCATACTTATAAATGTCCACGTAGTACGGGTAGGCGCCGCACTTTTCGAAACCTACGTTGATTATGCACTTTCGCACACAATCTCTGCGCGATTGAAATTGAGTTTGAGCATGGTAATCTTTGCAATTGGTCGCGTACGGGGCGCGTAGTAGCCTGTAGCTTTTCAGTTGGTAGGTTACTAGGCATAATTTACCGTATAATTTTACGGCATTCCAATCCCAACTGGCCGGTCTGTCGGTGTAATGGTGAAAGTACAACCACCAAGCCTTGTAGACATTCCAAGTTGGCTTTCCAATTTCCAATTTAAATACACGATTGTGCGATAATTTTATCGAATTACGTCCTATTTAATATAGACATTGATCAAAAACCATTTAAAAATATTATAATCGTTAGTGAGGTTAATCGTTATAATTAAATATTCAAACATACCGTGCAATTCCGAATTAATCGTAATGCAATAGTACGCTGAACTTAAACTCTCAATCGTATTTCTCAATACGTCACGTGTCAAATTCTTTTCGATAGTACCCTCGTAGTCAATATATGCGCTCGTAATAATTTTATTGCCATCGAGTAACTTGTACATTTCATTGGAGGTACGGTTTGCCATCAAATGCTCAATGTTCATACAAAATGTCATTGATGTTAGTACTTTTTCAATAATGTCAAACTCGGTTTGCAATTCGGTGTTTATGGGGTACGCAAAGTATAAGTCGCAAATGTTGTACATTTGTAAAACGCACCCCAATATAAAGCAACATTTTATTACTTTTTGTAACTTAACCCTGTTTACGACACATTTGCATTTGTTTACCATGGTAATTAATAAAGATAATTTTAGAAAATATGTAATTTAGTATTAATAAAATAAATCATTTTATTAAAATTTTAATGTGTTATCATAGTTACATTTATCTAGTTATGAACTATGAAATTTTGTTATTGCTGTTTAGAGTATACCTTTAACATTACACCATAATACAATAATATTTATAATCTATATTTTTAATTTAACTAACTAAATAAAAATTCAAGTCTAATCTAAATGAAATTTATATTAGTCTATTTTTTATAATTAAATAAAAAATATTATAAACAACAAACACAAAATTTACTTATAACTGTACTAGTAAAACTATTCTAGCAAAACAATTGTTTTAAAATCAATACTTAATATTATTCTTAAATTTAATTTTCCTAATGTATTATTTGTTTGTATATTAAAAGCTAAAAATCTAAAAACTTTATCAATATAAATTTAATTATAATAGTTATTACTAGGAAAACTGTTGAATAAATAAATTATTTATTAAATAAATGAAAATGAAAATCTTTCCAATGTTTAATTATATTATTTTATTATGTAAAGTTTACACTGATATCAATTATATGGGTCTATGTAAACACTGATTTTATTTCATCGTGTAATAATACATTAAATAATACTAGTAAGCTATCAATAAGTATTTACGTTACATTAAACTACATTATCCAATTTAGCAGTATCCAAATTAAACTTTAATTATTTCATTAATTGGAATTTAATTTAAGAATGCTATACATTTGTGTACATTGTAAATTATTCAAATAAATTATATATAGCAAGTTTATTGCATACTTTTTTAATATAAAAATGTTTTTGAGAATAGCTGTTTTATTTTTTATTATTATTTTAATTACACATTATGGTAAGTCTGATATAGAGAATATTTTGTACAAAATAAGCATGCAACATTTTTTTAGTGACATCAACTTGTGATAATCATGATGAAAGTGGACAAGATGATACCACAACTACTGAAATTTATGATGAAAATAGTGATCATGGTAATAATGGTGCGGAATATAATGACAATAATAAACAAACAGCCAATGACGAGCATGATGATAATACCGGGCAAAATAATAACCAAGTTGTTACATTAAACTACATTATCCAATTTAGCAGTATCCAAATTAAACTTTAATTATTTCATTAATTGGAATTTAATTTAAGAATGCTATACATTTGTGTACATTGTAAATTATTCAAATAAATTATAT